TTAAATGAAATAAACATTTGAATGCATCAGTCTGTGTGCAATGAATAAATATAATGTAAAAGTTACACCTTTTGAATGCAATTACTGAAATAAATCAAGTTTTTCAAAATATTCTAATTTACTGGCTTTTACCTGTATCTTCAACAAATTACCTCTCTAGAGCATCATCTGTTTTCCCAGATCTAATAAAGTACTCAGTCAACTTTGCAGAGTAACTCTCACCTCTCACAGCTTTTTAATGTTTTTTTAGAGTCCATGTGAGGTTTAAAATCTCCAGCACTGTTATTAGACACTGAGACATGTGGGGCAGCTTTGCACACGGTGCATTCAGCCTCTCACTTGTCGCAGCAGTTCATCTGTGAAGCTGCAATTTCGTTTTGCTATTTTGTGTCCAATGCTGGTTGCTCTGCTCCCTCTGTAGTACTGTAGTTTTCTGTGCAAAGAGCCAGTCGATTTAATACACATATATAAACAAAATGACAATAAAGTTTGTCTAAGTATATGATTATGGTCCAATGAAAAACTGTGAAAACCAGAACTTTTCATGAATTTATAATCCCCCTCCGGACGCCCCGGACAGAATGTAAAAAGTAGACATGTCCGGGCAAAAGAGGACGTTTGGTCACCCTAGAGCCCATTTAATGCAATGTATGGATGTCAACACACTGTGCCAGCCACGTCTGATCTAGCTCTATATGTAACAATATGCAAGGAAACTGACCTGGCTTACTTATATATTGTTCTCCATTGCTTTCTCTCCAGATTTCTGTAGCAATGGTGACATCATCAATGTTAACCCAGCATGATGCTGTCATCAGACATGCCACCGCGGGGGGACAGAGGTCACGCAGCCTGCCAGCTTTTTTTGCTAATTGGAAGGGAGCGGGTCGACCCATGTTTGAAAAACTGTCAAGGGTTTGGTTGAGGTTGAGGACCCATACGCAGAGGCAGAGAGGCTGAGGCAATTTCTTGTAGTTTAAATCAAAGGAAACAGTTTAACAAAGGCAGGAATCCAAAAAAACAACTAATAATGTAAAACAAACCAGAACTATGGAGACCACTGGGGAAACCAAACATGAGGAGCCAGGGAGAGACGAGGTAGGCAGACAACAGCATGAGGGGACAGCAATGACAAGGAACCAACAAAGAGTGACAGCAGAGGGAGAGTAGAGACAAAGGGAGGGCTAACGAGCTGACAAGGAGCAGGTGTGAGAGGAGACAACGAGGGAGCCAAGGGGAAAGGAACATACACACACAAGAGGGCAACAGAGGACAACAGAAAAAATTAGAACTAACATAAATCTAGAAATTACAACAAAACAGGAATTAAACCAATAAAACTGGGTAACATGGAGTAAAGTAGTGTGAAAGCGGCTTTACAAACGTGTGCTGAACCGTTAAAATCATCATTTGTCTCCCTTCTCACTGGCAAAAAAAGCTGGTTCTAACCCACCCACATAAAGGTTTAATGTTTTTAACACGTGTTAACCTAGGATTTTCAGTGAGAAAGAGGCTTGAATTAGCACCACCTTAACCTTTTTTGTTAGCAAGTAAAACTTAGTCATCCAAGAAATTACTCAAGTAAGAGTTAAGGTAGTATTTGTTAAAAAGGCTACTCTGGTACAGCGTAATTATTGGATCATAACGTCCAATTAAATGTTAGGGAATGATGCAGTCAGACACACTTTATGAGCAGATTTTCTTATATTAACGAATGAAATACATAACAGATATAAATAATCCCTGTAGAGGAAATCATTTTTCAAATTCATCTTTTTCATCATAAAAAAATCATAAAAAGAGAAGAAAAATTCCACCAATCTGATTTTATTGTATTTTAAGCCGTTCTCTGAAAAGCTGAAGTTACTCACAGCAAACAGAGTAACCAGAAAAAAGTAGGATTAGTGATACTTGACAAGAATTGTACTCAAGGAAAGGGAAAAAAAATAAGTACAGTAAAAATACTTTTTAAAGTACACTTTTCACCATGATTCCCTGGGTCTCTCTTCCACAAAAGGGGATGCAGTCATCCCTATGTTGGATCCTCCTTGAGCTCCCATGCTCTGTGGGCCCTTTCAAAGGTCTGGGGCTCTGGTCTACCCCATGTCTCCCTGTGCCCCCTTGGGGGGCAGGTCTGTGATTCCTCACACCCACTTATGAGCATTTTTTGGTGAAACCTTACAAGTGCATTCGCACATACACCCACAGCTGTTTGGATATGGATGTTAAGTAAATAGATAAACCATATAGTTAGCTGTCACTGCCACTAAATATATTTTGCATTAAAAAAATATTATATTACTTTTATTTTAATGATGTGTTCATATATACATTTATGGTTTGTACCTGGGATTCTTTTTTGTTTTTTTCCCTCTCTGTCTGCTGGTGTGGAAGCAGACTTTGAGGAAGTTATCTTGTATTACCTTCCTCCACTTTAATTTAAACACATTCTCTCCCTATTAAGATTTGTACCTCCCCTTTCTCCCTTTTTTCTCTATTTTGTTTTCATTTCATTGTCAATTGCATTTAAAATGATACCCAATTAGATTGTTTTTGCATTTGTTTGTATATACAGTATCTAGTGAAGCATTATGGTGAAAGCAACTTGTGAAGGTAAGATGTCATTACAAAAAATTATCCCAGTATAGTTGGATCCACCTTTTAATCAATCCTTTTCGAGCCTTCTCAACGATTGATGAAGAGCAGGTCTGAACATGAGTAAAAATACAACAAAAATTCAATACTTTACTAAGGATCTACTGATTTAGACTCTTTATCTCAATGAACATTGTCTTGTTTTCTTGAGAAAAAGAGATGATTCAAGACATTTTTTAGGGCAATGTAAAGTATATTACATAAAATGTAATACTTAATTAACAATAGCATTATACCGCATAAAAGAGCAATTCCAGTGCTCCCACTGTGCTTTAGCATCTTCCCTATTTTCAGGTTCCTCTTAAGGGCTTTCTGTACATGGAGGAACATTGAACTCCAGTGAAAGAGGAACAAAAATATGACACACATGCGTTTAAACTGTGATAGCTTTGAAAGCCAACAGAAGCCAGTGGTTAAAGTGAACTGGGTCTCACACATGATCTGCTCTGGGTTCCTGTTTATGGAGTTTCCTCAGCAGCAACCTCACCTCCTTCCTGTCGAGCTCCATATCCTGACAAACGGTCCACACAGGCCGCTCAGACACAGGAACTGGTATACATCCTGGCATTACTGTAACCTCACTCTGATCAAACCTTCATTTTAACAAGTCTTTTCAGATTTATTTTAGGATTTAACTAGTAGGGAACTGAAAAAGTAGCTAGGTTAGTAAAGTGGCTCCCTTCCAGCATATCTAAAGTTCACACTGACAGTTATGAGCTTTCCAGTTCTTTATAAATGATCTCAGTGTTCCTTTTCCTGCTCATACAGAAGGTGCTCACATGTCGCTCACTCCGATGTTTTCATTGGTGATCTGGATCAGACCTGCTGAGTCTGATAACAGTTCGCAGAAACCTGTGGTCAGAGCCCTATCAGCCCACAGGGAGGCCCAGAGGTTGATAAGATAAACAAGACCCCTAGACTATTTATTTTTGGACTTTGTTGGGTTTCTTTAACATTAAGTCTTAGTTGCACTCTTAGAATAGGTTTTGATCAATATATTATATCACACTTTTAAAGTGAAATGTATCAAATCAGTTGTGCGTCTTTGACCAAAAACTATGTAAGATGCATTCTTTTTTATTAAAAAAAAAGTGAAATATTTGTAGATATATTTTGTCTAACAACAAGCCTCATGTTGTGGGTTTCTGCTCAGACTGGTAGATAAGCTGAACCCAGTGAATCACATATGAGCTTGACTTCTAATTGAAAAGGAGGGAATTTAATGAGTCAAATCAGTCTTTAAATATAATATTTTTACCATTTTTCTCTGCTAACACAGGAACATGTTTTGTTCTAAAGCCTCTCATTAAACCTTTTGCTCAAAGGGGGAAAGGGGGACGAAGTAGGAAAAAAGAGGCTCTCTGAAAACAGAATGAAAATGCCTGATTGAAAGAATTGTTCTCTGGACCCATATAAGGTGAATTCTGTTTTTTCCAGAACGTAGCACACATAGGATGTACTGAATTATGATCCAATTTCTATGGTCTCTAGAGAAGGAGATGTAATATTGCAATAAATTGTGCAAAAGCATGTAGTTAATGCTTTCACACTCTCTATTTCTTTGTGATTTTTTTTTCCAATTAACAAACGAGAAAGCACAAAAGCAAAAATAAAGCGAATGTGCAAAGAAAGTCGTGCAGATCGTCTCTTTTTTCTGTTCTAGAAATGTAATACAAAGATTGTCCATTTTACCTGTCTCTTTTAGTCCTCAAACTACTGTGAGTACAAGTCCCAGTTCCTCCTCCTGTTTTATTTTTGTGTAAAATAAGATTTTCCCTCTGATATCAATCAAGAGTTTAGACAGAGTCCATTTGAGTCTATATCTTTGTTTTCAGTCTCTATCTTTTACCCTTATAAAAGCGAATCACCATTTTAACAACCCTCTTATTATTGAGGTGTTTTTCTGTTTTATATCTTTATTATAGAAATCTCTAAGTGCAAATATCTAAAAGTTTGGGATTTCCTGGAAACTTTAAGCGACTGCCTTTTAGAACAACACACATGGCTGTTAAACCATTTTTTATCCACCGTTGAACCTGGAATCCCAAGTAAAGAGTTTATTATAGCAGTTTGGACGCTGTAGTAAGCACAGTTTGGTATGTCAGGGCTATGGCTAACATTTTTAGTAAAAAGCAAGTTAACAGAGGATAACAGAGTTAAGTAGGGTTTTATGTTTCTGTATGACAGCTTATTTTTAATAGTGCAAAATGTATACTTTTGCTAAAAAACTTAAGAGACTAATTTAAAATTAATAAAAACAAACAAATTTGACACAGCTCTGTAAAACATAATATAAAATCAGTTTAATTCTAATTAATCTAAAAAACATCAACATATCCAGATGGTTATAATCAATAAACATGTTTTTTTTCATAACACTGAAGTGTAGAAACAATATTAGATTTAAAAACCTCACCAGGTTATGGAGGAAAGGACAGAAAATTCTCATTAACCCGAACTCTCTGTAAAAAAAATTTGCTTTCAAAATGTCCCTTGAGAAGTGAAAACAGAAATGAGGCAGCGTGTGTACATTGTGCATGTGTATTATGCTGTTTTCTCTTCAAAAATATAAAAAAAGAGATTTAAAAATATATATATATAAAAAGCAAAGCCTCCATCAACACCATTTACAAAATACATTTGTAAAAATAGCATAATCCTTATCCTGAAATACAGTCTGAAGGTGATGTATAATCACTTCCTGCAAGGTGAGACGCAATCAATACCAGAGAGGAATATTTTATTCACTTCAGGCTGTACTTGAGCTTCACCTGGACTGGTTCTGGTCGTACCTGCATTAAAAATCAAAACAAGCGTGGATACAATATCTCATCTTAAACACACTTTAAAGTTCATTTTAATAATTGGGAGTTAATCTGCTCTGATCTATTGGGTCTTTGTGTTTGACTCACTGTCTGACACAGTCTGGGATCTGCACATGTTCAGTAGAGATGAACTGGGAAAGCTCCTGAAGCGTGTTCACGAACTGAAGCTTTCTGCTGAACTTAGAGCTGAAAACATGAAACAGAAAGAGAACTGCTTATGTTTTACTGCGGTGCAGCAGCTAAAAGATTTAATTTTGCAATTTGACTTGAAAGAGGGAAATAGGCTGCACACCTGATGAAGGGTTTGATGATGGTGATGAGGAGTTTGATGTACCAGGTGGGATGAACCACATAGAAACCCTTCAGGTTCTTCCTCAACCTATAAATGGATGGAGACCAAAACAGATGAAATAATTCTGTGGATTTAGCATCTGTTGTTCCCCAAACAGCTAAATAACACTGATTTGAAAAAAAAACAAGTGAATTTTTTTTTTTTTTTT